TTAGGCCTTTTATTGATAAGTTTGGGACTCCCTGACCCAGCTGCAGCTTGTTTGAGACACCTTAGCCTGAGCAAGGACAGGCCATTCATATGCAAAATACACTGCACACAGCTTGGGTGGAGTTGTAAATTGGATGAGGTGGGATCTTAGGGAATCACCAGGGCAGAGCAAACAGAAATGGTTGCCAGTCAGCCCTGTGACCTGGGAGGTCCCAGCATAGGAACAATAATCCCTGTGAGCACCTCTGTCTGGGAGAAAGCCACCCTGAGTTTCTGTCCTGATGCCAGACAATCCAGTTCCTCCTTGTATGTGTGTGTCCCCAAGAACCTTGCCCTGGTGCTGGAGCTCAGAGGAATCAGGATCTTGTAAGTTCAGTTTGTGGTGCTGGCCTTTTAAGAGGAACAGCTGGGTCTCCAGCAGCCTCTGTGTCACTGAGCCCCAATCCACACTGGTTTTTACAACCTGTAGTTCTTACTGACCACAGGGATTTCTTTTCCCAGCTCTGGGACCCTGGGCTGGGGATCTGGTGTGGTTCTGGGACCCCTTGCTCCTCCTGGCAGCCTCCACAGAGATGATCTCCCTCCCGATTAAAAAAGCGGCACACATGGGTGCCGGACCAGCCCATTCCACGCCTCTGCACCTCCTACCAGTCTCAGTGTGCTTTCTTATTTACTTCTCTAGTTGTAGGACTTCCATTCAGCCAGCTTTCTGGTGGTTCTGGATGATGGTTGCTCTGTTTTAGTTGTAATTTTGATGTGGTTGTGGGAGGTGACGAGTACAGGCATTTACCTATGCTGCCAACTTCCCCGTTTCCATTCTCCACTATCGTTTAAAGTTGAAATGTCCCAGGACTCCATCCTGGAACCCCTTATCTTCTCTGTTTAAACTCAAACTGTTGGTGATCTCATCCAGGCTCATTGAGTTCAATGCTGTCCATAACCTGATAATTTCTAAATTTACATTCTCAACCCAGCTTTCTCTCTCCAAGTGCAGACTAACTTGTACATCCAACTGCCTACTCAGTACTTCACTGAACATGTGACAAACACCTCAAAGTTATTCTCACTAAAACTGAACTCTTTGTCTTGTATCCAAACCTGAGCCACCTGCATCTTCTCCATCTTGATTAAAGGAAACTTCATTTAACTCCTTTCTTTTTCTCATACCCCACATCAAGTCAGCCTTCACATTTAGATCCGTCCACTTCTCACAACTTCTATTAGAACTCTCCTACTGGGAGCAACCATCATCTCTCATCTGAATATTGCTGTAGCCTCCTAACTGGTCCCCCTACTTCCAACCCTGCCTGAATCCACACAACAGCCAGAGTGATCCTTTAAAAGCCTAAGTCAGATCATGAAAATCTGCTCAAATCCCTGCAATGGCTCCCCTTCTCTTTAGAGTAAAAGCCAAAACTCTTGCACTGACTTATAAAGCACTGATCTGATTCCCTGTTACAGTTCTGATCTCACATCACCCTCACTCATTATGCCCCAGTCTCCTTGCTACTACAAATTCCTAGCCATGCTCTTGCTTCTTGCAGTTGAGCTTGCCCTTCCCTGTGTGTCTACTGCTCTTACCCCAGATATCCTTATGGCTATCTTTCTTGTGTCATTCAAGTCTTTGCTCATGTTCCACCTCTTCAATGAGGCTTCCCCTGACCACCTCGTTAAAACCTGCAATCTACCTCTTCCCCAGCACTCCAATTTCGTTTACTCTGCTCTGCATTTTTTCTTTACATTCAAATTCTTTATTATAGCTGTTGTTTATTGTGTTTCTCTTTCCTATTATATTGATTTTATGAAGGCAGAGATCTTTGCATAATCATTGATGTATTCCAGTTCCTAGAATGGTGCCTAACCTGGCACATGATAGGTGCTCAAAAATATTTGTTGACTGATGAAATGAGCCCTAGAATTAGTAAGAATTAGAGCTGAAAGAGTCCTTAAAGATGATCTAGTCTATCATCCCCCAATAATAGCCACTAGTGTTTAGTCATCTATAATTTATTTCATTTGTATTTTTAAAAATCTAATAATGTTTTACTCAATCCAATATATCCAAAATATTATCATATCAATATATAATCAGTATGAAATTAGTAATGAAATATTTTATGTTCTTTTAATTTGTACTGTCTCCCCCCTCCCCAGTTTTATTGAGATATAATTGATACATAACATTGTATCAGTATTCAGTATACAACATAATGATTTGGTATATGCATATATTGCAAAATGATTACCACGATAAGTTTAGTTAAGATCCATCACCTCCCATTGTTACACATTTCTTTAATGTGATGAGAGCTTTTAAATTTCTTTTAAACTGATCATCTGTAGTTATATTTGCTAAGAATTTTTTTAAAGTCCCTGAAATATTAGGGACTTTGTTTTCAGTGAATTGTGCAGCTTTATGATTTAAATGTTGTATATCTATTAAATACATCTGGTTGATTTTTGGAAAATCAGATTTCTATGCAAGTATATATTATAGTGAAATAATTACCTCTGAGATATTGGTATTTCATCCTAATTTTAAAAACAAAGACCTGGAAAAATAACCATACAATTCAAATGATTGTTCATTAATGGCAATTTAATCCCCTCTGCTGAGTCTAAAGCATCAGAAATTGGAAAAAATTTCCAGATATTAGTTCATTGTTTTACAATGTAAAAATGCTTTTTACAGCTTATCAGTAAAACTGAATAAAACTGCTTTGTCATCACAAAAGAGAAATAGTTTCAAGAAGTCATTTTTAAATTGTATTTGTATTCTAGATTTTTAAAAATTACTAAAATTGAAAATACAATAAAAACAATTTGAGTACAGAAAAACCGGACAATTATTTTTCATGGTAATTTTAAAAGACTAATAAATTTTACTTGAAAAACATCTAGAACAAGACATACTGATTGTTTGGATGGATATGTGACAATGTGAAAATTGTGTCAATACATGTAGGTAGTTTGATAAATAAGCTAAGACTTTGAAATATAATTATTTGCAATCACTTTGCAAGAGATGAAACAGCAGATGTTGAAACTGAGGCCTTTAACTTCAATGTGCAAATTCAGTTGTAACTTCCTCAGTTTTCCAACCTTCACATCAACTTTAATAAGCTCTAATTTGATAAATTTCATAAATATTCATAAACAGAATATTATTACTCTCTCAATTTAATCATACTCATCATAATGTTTCTAATATATATATACACACACACACTAGAGGCCCAGTGCACAAAAATTTGTGCACTCGGGGGGGGGTGTCCCTCAGCCCGGCCTGCACCCTCTCACAATCTGGGACCCCTCGGTTAGGGTCCCTAGGCCTGGCCTGAGACCAGGGCCTATCAGGGCTTTCCTTCCCCCGTCTGCAAGGCAGCTGGCCCCATCCCACCGCTGCCACTGCTTGCCATCTGTGCAGTGCTGACCCCATCCCCTGCCACCAGTGGCCTCCCTCTGCAGGTGACAGGCTGGGGTGCAATGGCTTGGCTGGCCTGGGCCTCCCTCTTTCTTTGCTGGGGGGCAGGGCCAGTCCTGTGAGGGTCCGTTTGCCTACCTGATCTCCCCTAACCGCTGGCCTGCCTACCTGATGGCCCCTAACCACTTGCCTCCTACGTGATCACCCCTAACTGCTGGTCTGCCTACCTGGTCGCCCCTAACCACTCTGCCTGCCTGCCTGATTGCCCCTAACCGCTTGCTTGGGGGCGGGGCCAGCCCAGCAAGGGGCTGTCTGCCTACCTGATCTCCCCTAACCACTGGCCTGCCTACCTGATCACCCCTAACTGTTGGTCTGCCTACCTGATCACCCCTAACTGCTTGCATGGGGGTGGGGCCAGCCCGGCAAGGGGTCGTCTGCCTACTTGATCTCCTCTAACCGCTGGCCTGCCTACCTGATCGCCCCTAACCACTTGCCTGCCTACCTGATCACCCCTAACCGCTGGTCTGCCTACCTGATCACCACTAAGTACTCTGCCTGCCTCATTGCCCCTAACCACTTGCTTGGGGGTGGGGCCAGCCCAGTGAGGGGCCATCTGCTTACCTGATCACCCCTAACAGCTGGCCTGCCTACCTTATCACCCTAAACCACTCTGCATGCCTGCCTGATTGCCCCTAACCACTTGATTGGGGGCGGGGCCAGCCCATGAAGGGCCATGGTGGTCTGGTCTCTGGTCATTTCAGTTGTGACACCTCTGGCCTTTTATTATATAGAATATTACTTCCTCCATTTGCCTGTATGCTAAGAGTTAGAGGAGTCTCTAATTTCATTCAGGCAAATTCATCAACATTTATTAAGTTACTAGAGGCCCGGTGCACAAAATTCGTGCCCTCAGCCCAGCCTGCACCCTCTCCAATCCAGGACCACTGGTACCTAATTGCTCACCTGCCTACCTGCCTGGTCACCCCTAACTGCCGCCCCTGCAAGCCTGATCGCCCCTCACTGCCTCTGCATGCCTGCCTGGTTACCCCTAACTGCCCCTCGCTGCCAGCCAGGTTGCCCCCAACTTCCCCCTGCCACTGGCCTGGTTGCCCCCAACTGCCCCCGCTACCGCTGGCCTGGTCGCCCCACGCAGCCTGCTGTTCAGTTGTTTGATCATCCCTCACTAACCCCCCTGCCGGCCTGGTCGTAGGCAGCCATCTTGTGAGGGTGTGAGGGTTAATTTTCATATCACCTCTTTATTATATAGGATAATCATGCTTGGCAATTTGAGGGTTGGAAAAATCTTTATAGCCTTGCATCTTATAAAAATATTATTGTCACTTTATCTTCTGCATTAAAAATCAGATAACTACTTAAAGTTGTTTTTCCTCCAAAAGTGTTATGCTTAAGAATTTTCTTATAATTGCTAAACAAGAGAGATCATACTCATAGAAATAAACTTCAAAAAAAAAACCCTGCTGTCTACTAGAACTGGCTGTGTAACTGCCACATCAACCAAAGAATGCCTTTTTTGTTTTTCAGTTTCCATCTTCAATGTGGAAGCAAGCACTCCTTACCTTAACGAAACTCATCCGGATAGTGCACATCTTAGTTAACTCATAGACGACTTCAAATCCATGGTGGACTGACTGAGCAAGTAGCTGAGCAAAGAGCTGGTTGCTGAAGATCTTGAGGCTACAACCACTGGGGATCTTGCAGACAGTGGCTGGGTGGAAACCGTGCTGATAGTTGCAGTTCCGGCTCTGGACAAAGATGCTGCTGTCGCTCACACACTCAGCATAGACCTCTCCCCCGACATAATATAAATGCACACCTATGAGGCAAAAACAGTCTTCAAATACCTGCACCATCTTTAGCTTAGCTGTACCACCATTCTCTTCTCATTGACCTTTGTAACCTGAAGAAATATGACTATCTACTGTGAAGTTAATTTTCATATTACCAATCACAGCTTAGTAAAATATGTGACCTAATTGCCAACTTGTTTTAATTCTAATTTGTGCTTTTTCCATGAGTCCATTTAAAATAAAAGTGGATTGCAACCCATGTTTACCATCACTGCACAGAACAAGTAAATCAGCTCTCTCCATCATTTTCTCAATCTCACATTCATTCACTCTAAAAGTAAGATCACCCAGCTGGTATGGCTCAGAGGTTGAGTGTCGACTCATGAACCAGAAGATCACGGTTTGATTACTGGTCAGGGCACATGCATGAGTTGCAAGCTTGAGCCCCAGTAGGGGATGTGTGGGAGGCAGCTGATCGATAATGTTTCTCTCTTATTGATGTTTCTATCTCTCTATCCCTTTCCCTTCTTCTCTCTCTAAAAATCAATAAAAACATTTTTAAAAAAAATAAATAAAAGTAAGCTCATAACATTTAATACAAAATGAATACTTAAGGCAGAAAATATCAAATAGCCCTTCTAGTACATATATAAGTAAAAAAAATTAGAACTGGACACGGTAATATGAAAAATATTACTTAAGTGTATACACTAAACCCACTTCAGAGGAAACAATAAATTAAGTTTAAATTTTATTTTTACCAACAACTATAAATCCATTTCTCTTAATAAATACCTCAAAGAGACCTAATTCAACTTCTAATATAGATCATAGAAATAATGCCTATTTTTTACTTATAAACAAAGAAATTCTTGCCACATTTTCAGATATAGACAATCAAAATGTAGTTTATGTTACTTTCTCTCACATTCTTGGAATTAAAAGGCACTGCTCACACTAGTTTTTACTCCAAATTAAGTTTGCGTTATTTCCCTTAAAAATTTCTGGTTTCGAAATTCAAAAAAATATATATAGCAAGTGACTGGGGTTAGATAAAATGAAGAAAGTCTAGTCTGTGGATATTAAATACCAGAACAACTTTTCTCCAACCTTTTAACGGAAATAAAATTCTCTACCACTACTACATGATTGTAAACTCAATCATCCTGCAGTTACAAGATATTCCTAGAAATGAACCAGAATATACTTACAGTGATATATTTTAGGTTGCCTCAAACAAAATTTTAAAATAGAATTTATAGCGCTTCAGGGGTTCTCAGACCCAAATTTGCATAACTTTGCATTTAGGAAACATTACTCAGACAGCTACTGAATTTCTTTGTCAGGTTTTAAGTAGCAATTGAGGGCCTTTGTATGTGAATACCTCCCAACATATCTATTGTCTCCATTTCCCATCTTCTTTCCCTTAATACAATTTTAGAAAATAATGGTTTTCAGGATTATGTATTCTAACCATATCACTCTGAAGAAACTGATCCAGGGTCACACAGATAAAGCACAGCTGTTGATATTCAGGCTAAGGTTCCCCTCTCCCTACCCAGATCAGACTGCTCCTCTCTTCTCTCAGCCTTCCTCTCCTTTTTCTTTCTCATATTCATTATTCATTCTCCCTGAATGGCTTGGGGTCTGACACCCATGACCCAGGCCTTGAGGTGTAGGCAGAAGTATGTACCTAATTGGCTAGGACAGTGGTCGACAAATTCATTAGTCAATAGAGCCAAATATCACCAGTACAACGACTGAAATTTCTTTTGAGAGCCAAATTTTTTAAACTTAAACTATATAGGTAGGTACATTGTTATTAACTTAATTAGGGTACTCCTAAGCTGGCCTTTGCTAAAAACATCCTCAAGGAGACAAACCAAGATGGCGGCATAGGTAAACACCGGAAATTGCTGCCTCGCACAACCACTTCAAAAATACAACTAAAAGACAAAACAGACATCATCCAGAACCACAGGAAGGCTGGCTGAGTGGAAATTCTACAACTAGAAGTAAAGAGAAAAGCACACTGAGACTCAGAGGAGCTGCGGAAGTAAAGTGCAGAGGTACAGAGGCGCACGTGGAAAGGGCTGGCAACTGAGGAGGCGGTTGTCTTTTTCAATCGGGAGGGAGTCTCAAGCTCCCAACCGCTCTGAACTCCAGTTCCAGGCGAGTCTCTGGGGACCCAGACTCATACAGGGAGAAACTGGACTGTCTGGCAGCGGGCAGAACTCGAGGGCGGCTTTCTCTCAGAGGTGCTTGCAGCGATTACCACGGGACACTGAGACCCAGGGCCTCTTAGGGCAGGACTGAGGATCAGCCATAGCTGTTTGCTCTGCCCTGTTGATTACCTGAGACCCCACCA